GGGAGTCGCGGCGCCCGCCCAGGCGGCCTCCAGAGCAGCACTGAAGCGGCTTCCGGGCCTGGCCGGAAGAGCTCCCTGGGCGGCAGGAAGTCCCGCCTCCCGGGCCAGCCCCTCCCGGGCCAGCCCCTCCCGCGCCGCCCTCCAGCGCCCCCGTGCGGCCGGAGCTGAGCCTGCACGTCTGCAGCGCCACGCGTAGACCTGATGCATTTTAGGCACCACCCGCACCGAGGGCTGGCTCCCGGGCCTGACTGCCCCGCGTGTCCTCCGGCCGCCTGGTTCTGCTGCCCTGGGGCTTTGTATGTTTTAGGCTATGCCCAATGATCAGGGCTGATGGCGAGATGTCTTCGAGGGCTGTCAGTACGGTCTCCTCACCTAGGAGGGGTCACACAGGTGTGGTCAGGGTGGACAGTCCATCCATCATCGGCATGCTTTTCTGCGGAGGTTACACTCCCATGAAAACCCTTCTGAGAGGAGGAAAGCTTGGGAGGCCGGGTACGCAGGAGGATCTCTGTTTGAGGCCGGTCCAGGCAAGAAAAGTTCACCAGCATCCCCTTCTCAGCCTTCTCTGAGCTGGCCACATGGCACATACCTGTCATTACAAACGACCTGGAAGGCTGAGATTGGGAGGGTCGAAGTTCCCCATCAGCCCAGGGAAGAAAAGTCTGTGAAATTCCATCTCCACAAAAGAAAACGAGCTTCACTTAGGAAGTAAGACCCTAGCTCAAAAATAGTGAAAGACAGGCCTGGAGGAGTGGCTTAAATGGTAGCGGGGAGAGGAGGGATGTGAGGAGAAGCACTTCTGGTTTGTCTCCTTAAGACTCGGCACTCCAGACTGCAGATGTCTTCCCTGACCACCTCAGAAGCCGACTTCAAAAGTTCCTCTTCAAGGACAAGACGTTTTCTGTCTGGAGCAGTCCCTGGGGCATCCCGAGTATTGCTTGGTAATATTGAGTCGCTGAAAACGGAAATGAGATGAGACAATTCTCCTGAGAAAATACCAACACATCTACCCAGATTGAAGACTGAAGTCAGACGGTGTCTGATTTAGCTGCCTGTTTTGCCTCTGAGGATGGGCCTGGCCAATTAGGTCATCTGGGGTGCATTTTTCATAAACAGGATGGGCTATGGCCGCATCTCCACAATTTTGATGATAATATATCTAAAAAATGATTATAACAAACCAGCAGTCAGAAATGACACCTTTTGTAACTAGATGAGTGATTTTAAAACTTAGGCGACATAAGCTCTCAAAATTACTTCAGAATATAAGCAACCAAAACAATTGAAGATGATTTGTTTACGTATTTTGAAACAGGGTCCTATATGAAGGTCCAGGCCAGTCTTAAACTCTCTATGTAGCTCAAGCTGGCCTTGAACCCTTGCTCACCTGCCTCAGGAGTGATTCTTCAGCACACCTAGCTGGAAGACGGTTTAAATCAGTAGCCCATTTCTGCTACAAGTTGTCACAGCCTATTGGCTTCAGAAAATGAAATACCTTACAGTTGTGGAGGTCACAATTCCAACCCACTTCTCACGGAGCTAAAATCAAGGCATAGCAGACACCGGTCAGCAGCTCCAGAAGAATCCATGCTACGCATTTTCCTGCATCTGGAAGCTGCCTGCACTCCTTGGCTCCTGGCCCCTTCCATCCTCGTTAAATGTTCCTCATGAAGCCACTCTCCAATTCCGACTCTTCTGTTCCCCCCCTGTGATTACCTTATCCAGATAAGGCAGTGGGGGGGGGGGTAGGCTGAAATTTGAGGATTATGGCACAAAGCCTGCCAAGGCAGGAAGGTCCTTAAGGAGCTGTGGCTCAAGTGTTTGAGTGCTAGAAGAGACTGCACCCAGGTCCTGAATTCAAGCCCCAGGACCAGCATATGCACACATATACACACATACACAAAAGAAGGAAAGAAGAAATTTCCTGATACTACTGTCAGCCAATAGCCTTCCTTCTAGAATAACCATCATGGTGACACATGGCTCTAGATGAGTTGTGCCACTTGTGATCCACCAGCTACTGCTAACTACCACTTGCGACAGCACTACAGGACACCAAAGCCAAAGGAACGAGAAAAACACAGAATGGAGGCAGCAGAGACCAGGGTGCCCATGGCGCACCGGTTCCTGAACCCCGAGTTCCTAGAGGCAAGCTTATTTATTTGGTCTAACAACAAATAAAGGTTGCCATAGGTACGTTATTTATTTATTTTGGCTCCGGTCATGGGGCCTGAACTCTGGGCCTGGGCGCTGTCCCTCAGCTCTTCAGCTCAAGGCTAGCGCTCTACCACTTGAGCCACAGCGCCACTTCCGGATTTTTTCTTTTTGCTTATGTGGTGCTGAGGAATCGAACCCAGGGCCTCAGGCATGCAAGGCAAGCGCTCTACCACTGAGCCACCTTCCCAGCCTGTTACGGTACGTTATTTATTATTACAGTCATTGACATGAAACAGAGTTGGTGTAAAGAACAACTGGCTCCCTTGTTTTGAGAGTAAAAACTGCCACCTGGGCATAATTCAGACATGGATTCTCCTTCATCTGTCTTTCAAGGTCCAGCTCTCAGGCCTTCCAGCATGAATGAAGGGGGCGGCGTTCCAGCCTCTTAACCCTCTCCAGAACTGTCTGTTTCAACCTTCCCAACGCCAGGTCTCAGCGGTCGGCATACTGTCGAGGAGGCTCTCCAACCTCTCAGACCTGTTCCATGCCTCACAGCTCAGCTTCAAAATGCCCTGCAACCAGCGCTGCATGGTTAAGTGAGCGAGGAATGTGGCATCCAATCACCCCTTGTCCACTGCCGTGGTGTCAGCGGGCATTTGGGAGGGATCTGGGTCCGGTAACTCTGCTTTTGTCTCACTGTGAATTTGACCAGTCGGAACACCTGTTGCATTGTCTCATCTCTTTAGGAGGAAGATACTGTTCCATCCCAGACCAGCCACAAAATGGGGAGTCGTAGGGGCTGGGAAGGTGGCTCAGTGGTAGAGTGCTTGCCTTGCATGCATGAGGCCCTGGGTTCGATTCCTCAGCAGCACATAAGCAGAAAAGGCTGGAAGTGGTGTAGAGCACTAGCCTTGAGCTGAAGAGCTGAGGGACAATGCCTAGGCCCAGAGTTCAGGCCCCACAACCGACAAAAAATAAAAATAAAAAACAATGGGGAGTGGCCCATTCTGATTTGGGCCACTGAACCGTGAGGGCTCATCTACACGAGCCACCACGCCAATTCTTTGGAAGATCCAAGTTCCTGGTACACCAACGGTTCCTGTGTCCCAGGAGTTACACTGCCATGTCCCGCGGTCCTGTCCCCATGAGCCTTGTCAGGCCCTAGAGCACAAAGCAACCGCCACTATGAATGAGACCCAGAAAGAAGGGGCTGGGCCTGCTTGCTCACTACCTGGATGTACTGTAAGATTTCATGGCAAGTCCCCTCCCAGCAAATTGTGTGCATCCCTGGCTTCATCTTATCCTTCCTGTCCCCCCCACTCCCGCCCCTTCACCTCTAGCCTCTCACCTTGAAGATCTGGCATCTTCGGGTATTTTTGTGAACCAATTCAGAACTGCTCCTCCTGGGAAAGCCAAGGTACTAAGGTTTTGGGCTGGTGAGCACTTCTGTTTGGCTTCGGCCAGGCCTCCAGGGAAGTCTGAAACATGGATGCTAATAGCTCTGTGGTCCTCTGGGCAAACACAGCTGCCTGGTGCCCCAGGCCCCAGGCCCCAGCTGTGCTTTGGGGGCCTCCTGAGGTGGTAGCTACACAGCGTAAAAGCCAAGTTCAAAAGTCCCCTGCCCTTCTTCACGGGTTCTCCAACCTTCAGGACCACCCGAGGCTGGAGACCAGGCTGACGGAAGGAGCCCGGCCCGGCCCAGCCCAGGGCCCGGCCTCGCCCCGGGACAGGCGCGTGGGCCCGGGGATCCGCGCCTGCACGGCCCCGGAGAGCCTGGCCTTCCGATTGGTTAATCGCACTGCAGCCCCGAGGGTTCCCATTGGTCGGCCGCAGGCGAGGGAGGCGGAGCTCACAACCTGC